TTTACTTTGATGGATTTCATTGGGGTGTACGGTGAAAACTGAGGTACAAACTGAGGTAGGTATTTATGTTAAACAATAGGTTTATTTATACAATATTTTTGTAAAGGAGTAGTGCTTGTACATTTACTCATCCATATTCATAACATGTTAATTTAGAGTTAGCTTTTTGTGTTTGCTGTCTGTTCTTGTTTGGTTGTCTTAGTTACATCATTTAGTGTGTTAGATGTGAAACTAAATATATATCTTCTTCTACCACTAATCATATATCACTCATGTCCTATGTGAACCATGTCCTAGTTTCTGACTATGAAGGGTGAATATATTTATCTCAGGGACACCAACGTATCTTGAATGAGCTATAAATATAGGAACAGAAAAAATGCCTCACTTAAAATAATCGTGCGCCATCTTGTAAACTTGTTTATGTATTTCTGCTCTGACGCAACCTCCTTGTTTGCATGTCTTCTGTAGTCAAAGCAGAGTAAGTTTATACTGTGAAAGGTCAAAACAAGCATTTCCTACTTGCCCATCGGAGCCCTCTTGAATGTTTAATTGCGTTGAGTTTCTCCGAGGTCATACCGTTCTCAAAGATCACATTTCCAGACACCACTGACTCACTGTGCTAGCATGTCGCTTCCCTGCGAGCGTGCAATCACTCGGTTATTTGTTGTGGCATGTCTGACCTGCAAGCAGCACTAAATCATTTTCTGAAGGAGACCACCCTATGTGGACACCTTTAAAAAGGACACTCATAAACAGTGAGCAGCCATAAAGTGACAAATAAAGAAAACAAACTACTTGATGAATGCAAGACTTCTGTAGAAGCTGCTTTACATAAATTCACGTACAGAATAAGTGCACATACGCTGCAGTAAATCTGAAGCCGCTGGGCTCCACGGATGTTAAAATGCATATCTGAGTAGCTCACGTTGTGCCGCAGTGAAGCATTTACAGTTGGGTGTGTCAGTAAGTAGTTTAATTACAGACAAACACACTACCCCTCCCTGCAGAGAAGATATGGGAAGCAAATATAGCCCGCTGTCACTGAGCATCTGGCTAACCCTCTTACATCAAAAACAAATATGATTCCAAGTCTCATACAACAACAAACAAGGCATGTTTTTGCAATCAATTCCTGTTTTTTCAACAGCAGCAAATACAATATGACAGTGTGATTAAATTACTCACATATTTTAAAGCATTTTCAATGATGAAAAGCTGTATAATACATCATAAAGATATCTTTATGACCTTGTGGTGCAGTGATAAGAAGTTAGAGAGATGTCATAAAAGTGAAACATGTACTTAAATGAGATATATAAACTGTGAACATTTTTGTTTACATTAATTATCGTAACTTTCAGTTTTCCCGATAGCAATTTGGTAAGTGTTTTTCTTCATTGTGTGACAGGAAATAACAGGATAAGTAGGCTATCAAGTAGCCGCCTCCTGAGTATAAACGGTGTCTATGTGTTTATGTGTGAAAGCCCAGAAGGTTGCAGCGGGTGGTAGAGGGCTAAATGGGAGGGTTAAGTGCAGATAGTTTGAAATCTCGTTTATTTATGGTCTATTTTTTTACTGTAGAATTTTGCTTCGAAGTTCAAATCTTCATTGAAAGCTATAACCATTATAACTGAAAAGGCCAGTGGAAAGTAAAGTCAGGTCAGAGATATTAGCCTACTTCAGCTTTACAGAAAATCCCCAGAAAGAGGCTTTTTATCATTTATTTATTTATTATTTTCACAGAAACACATATTTTCCAGACAGCTCTTACCTTCCCCAGACTATTCTTCAACCCGTCCATTTCTGATTTAGATTCATGTCCATCCAGAAGTGTATTGCTTATTTCCAGGATCCGGGGAAAAAAAGTGCTCAAAGTTTAAAAATGTATCAAAGCAGATACGGGTAAAGCAAGCTACACACCTTTCAGCCCCTCTTGCAAAGTTCAAAGTGTATTACTGTTGGGTTGTGTATCACCCTGCAGATTTCCTTTTATAGACACATAATAGCTACAAATAGCTTGCAGACAGCAGTCAGCCTGCTGGGCACCAGTAACAACGTTCATGCTCGGAACTCCAAAACACAACATATCTCTGGATAGTTTTATTTTTCTTATATGACTAAAATCAACTTAATATGTCTAAGGGTTGTGTATTCCTTTTCAGCATGGGGCTTTCATACATTTTATAACGCACCATATGACTGACACCATGCTGTATAGACCAAGATCTTGGCTGACTGAGCTCTGATCATAAATAAGACAGGAAGAGATGATGGTATCGATTGCCCAATGGAAAATGCTGCTGAGAGAATGAGTGCTGAGGAGAACAAATATTTCAATTACTTTTTTCATTAAAATGTTGCTATGAAACATTTATGACATGTTTTAGTACAGGTTTGCTGTGAAAGCCATGCATTGTGTGGTGAAGCTGATCAACTGACAATAAATAGAAAACGAAATGATTTCTGAACTTGCATGTCTGAGAGACATAATGTTTTCTAATACTCAGAACAAGGTGTCCATTAAGCCAGCAGACTGGGGGGGGGGGTACAAATGTATTCACTTGTTTGTTCGAGGTGGCATCAACTTTTCTGTTCCCTTATCAGTGAGTGAAAGCAGACCTTGTACTAATCCTTTAAGTACACTACATTCTTCATTCCTGTCACAGCTGTTCTTGTCTATTTCCACTCTGCCGCCCCCCTGTCTCACTGTGGCAGCCGCACAGAGAGAAAATCACAATAAGAAAAAAGCATACGCCTGTTCCTCGGGATAAAAGTGATCTGACTGGTCCCTGAAATATAAAGTTTTTTTTTAAGTTTTTGAGCAGGACATTTTAAGCATTTTGATAGCAGCTTACCTAAATGACATCCTCTAACTATACATGGTTTTCATATAATCCGGTTTCCTCTAATTATTATTCAGAATCTGTTGAAATGGCAGAATGTCACATCTATGCTTTGATTTCTGGAATGGAGTATTAGCTTAAAGCCTCAAGGAAGTTCTCTGCTACTGGGACGATAAATTATTCGCTAAGGAAGAGATAAGCCTCAAATGTGCAGTATTTATCATTATGTAATGAGATATATGCTAAAATCAACCCCCACCCCAAACAAAACTTATTAAATACAAGTCTGTGAAACTGTTTTTAGACAAATAGTTCACTGCTGATAAATAGACACATGTGTCAAACTCAAGGCCCGGGGCCAAATCAGGCCCGTGGTGGATTTAATTTCGGCCCGCAGGATAATTTCTAATTACTATTAGATCTGGCCCGCCGGTATATTTTACGCACACCTTCACTCAATCCTGAGGGTTTCCTCAGCTCAGAGCCTGACCCCAAACATTGATGAACTTGCACCCAAGATGAGATGCCAAGTATCTGGCTTGAACTGGCATCACAGAGATAGAGCCATAAGAAATGAATGCAACTGATTATATAATGTTTAATGTTGTTTTTATAGGCAATCATTTAAGCTTGTTAGTTCCAGGTTTAATATGTGCAATAAGTTCATTTCAATAAGTCTTGCAATAAACATTGAACCAGTCCGGCCCTTGACTAGTACCGATTTTTTTATTTTGGCCCACTGTGTATTTGAGTTTGACACCCCTGGACTAGACAATGAACATGTGCTGATGCATGACAGACATAGAGTTATTAATGATGACCACATTTTAGCTTGTGTCCAGTGTTTGTGCATATTCTAATAATTCTAGATGAACCAGAGAGAGCACAGACCAAAAGAAAAGAGAGGGAATCAAAGAACATGGCTGATGCAAGCTCTTTTTGACTCTCCTCATAAATAATGTCACTGTCGGAATGATTTTCCTTTGTATGACCGGGGAGAGGGACAAACGCTACAGCCTGGTGTGAAAGAGACTTTGTAACACAGTCCTAAAATCTGCATATTGGCTCTGTTTTGTAAAATGATGACAGCTGATATTGCCGGATGAAATTACAGTTGTCTCTCCCTTGCAGATTTTTTTAACTGTAGCTAGCTAGCTAAACCCGGCAACATTTACTCTATGGGTTTTCCCATATACAACACAAAAAAAGGTCTTAAGGGATGAAGACACTTAATTTCTGCAAACCAAAAACAATCTCTGGTAATTAAGTGGTAAATATTGCTAAGTTCCTCAAAATCTCTAAAGAGCAGGCCAGAGCTTTAGCATTAGCCTGTTAGTCTCCAGGATCAGATTCTATGCTAGTGAACTTTTATTTAGAATGAAATAAGTAAGTTATTAGTTTAAGAAGTATACTCCTTGGTCATGTAAGTTATGCTCAATTTATTTGGGTAGGAAGCTACTACTAGATCACTTATGTAGCATGTGTGTCTGCAAACACTGCAATCATTTCCTAATCATTTACAATTCAATATGAATCAGTAATTATTATGAATAATTATGGAATAACAAAAATGTGTGCCATATCACATGGAAATATTATTCGCAACGTTTTTGAGCAGAAGAAAACAAACACTGGATGTAAAACCAATGTTCCTAGAGGTAGTCCCAGTTGTATTACAGTCATCGAAATCCTCTCTCATCCTCCTCAGTTCCTCCCACTGACTCTTCATGAATGCCTCTTGAGACAGACAAACACTCAAGTCTCACAATATGAACCAGGGCAGCCAGTAATTGACTCTGGATTGATTCTCGCAGGTTATTATCACCCAGCAGACAGTCATCTCCGCAGAGCTTCACTGATCAAACAAGTAGTCATATCAGTGCTGGTGTATTTGGTCAAGAGCAAGACCGCAGGGGGAGGACACAATAATAGGAACATTTAACACACAATATGGTGCAATCCTGTGCAACAACACTGCAAATTACAACCTCAAAATATCTGCCAAACAAACACCTTCCTGTCACACTTTCAGTAGGAATTGATAGAAATGATTGTTTTGCAAGAGTAAAAATAAATTGACCTACATTTTTTTGTGGGGGAATGCATGACAGCGTGGATTTGATTGTTACGCAGCTGAAAGAAAAGAAAGGCCTCGAGGAACAACATTGTGCTTTATTGAGAAAGTGAACACAGAACTATAAACTGTTTTTGCTGTGAGAATGAAAGAGCTGTGAAACAACACAAAGCAGGTAATGTTCTGTTTCTCAAAAGGCAGAGTGTGTAATCCCATCAATCTGGATGTTGTGCGAGGGAATTAAGTTAATTCTGCATCAGGACTCTGCAGGAAACGGACGGCATGCCGTGCAATCTGTTCCGCAGTGTGGCATTTTATCTCAGTACACACTATAAAAGCTTTGAGTGCTTCACACTGTCATGGGCGGTGACACTATTTCAGCCAGCACAGCCATTATTTACAGCACAGCGGTGAGAAGTAGAGGTAGCCAGCGGCATTAATTGTTTAATTGATTGTATTTCACATTACGACATGTACAGTAATTCATTTGGACATTCTTATCATCATCTCCAGTCTCTGTTCTATTGAGTTGTACAGGGGAAACTCTGTGGTTTTAGTAATAAAAATAAACTCTAATATCACTAAATGATGCAAGTAAATCATTCCAGCAGTATGGAAAGTATCATTACAAAGGAAAAGAGCCGGGTTATAACAGTCTATGTCCTTCATTTATGTCCCCTATACTCACTGGTCAAGGTGGGTGCGCTGTCAAAACAGTGTGAGTGTGTGTCATGAATTTCAGAGGCATGTAACGTCTCTCTGCTGGGGATCTGTGTCAAAAGCTCCACATCTTCATCCGAGGTAGAGGGATGAGTGAGAATAATCCGAGGGATCTGTCAGATAATTGTCAGAGAAGGAAACAGGATTCGGGAGGATAATAAGCAAGTGATTTGATACAGTGCTGAAATGTCAGAAAAATCAATTGCTGATATTATCCAGAAACAATTGAATGTCTTTTTACTGAGGGAGAAGATAAAATTAGGTGATTTCAGAGTAACATTTTATTAAGAGTGGTATCTTAACTGAGGAATGAATGTGCTTACTGTCATTGTGTGTTTCCCTCCCTGATGTGAATCATTTCTCATCAATGTCTGCGCCTTCGGTTCAGAAAAGTCCCTGCTCAGCTCGCGATACAAATCAGACTGAAACACAGAGAGACAAAGAGAAAAGAAGGGTAAAAGAAGATTGCTTTTGAAGGCGTAATTCCCATTTGACTTGAGGCAGATGTGGGTACAAGTCATTGTACTGCAAGTGCTCAAATCCCAAATCAAAACCCAAGTCGGGTCTCAAGCCAGGACATGCCATTTTCAACTCAAGAACGTGTCAAAACAAGTCCCAAGTTAACTTTTAACTTGGGGGAAGGTATCAATTATTTTTTAAATGTAAAGGTTTAGGTCAAATTATTTTTAGGTCATTAAGCCTTCCATGTGTGACTCAAATCTAAGTTATCTGAAACAAGTCCACACATATTGCTTGATGTTCATTTTAAAACAACCTTGAAAACAAATATTCAGTTTGTGCTGTGATTGGAGAACAGCACTCACAATGCCATTGCCGTTGCAGACACTCTTCTCAATCTTCTTAGACAAACAGAAATCTGTGTTCTCCATCTTTGGCTGTTTTCCTCTCTGGCTCCTGCCTTCTTGGCTGCCCGGCTGTCGGCTTGTCACGTCCCAAAGATCCTTGTGCTCCCCCGGATCACACAACTCTCGAGGTAGCAGCCTCTCTCTGAGCACTTCCATCTTGATGCAGCTCCCAGCATTCCTGAGGGCAGTGACTGCCCCATGGTGGGTCACCAGCTGCATATTGAGGCCATTGACCTGGAAGGCAGTGGTCACATTAAGCTTTCAGGGGTCAGAAGTAAGACCAGGAGTTAGAGGTGAGACATTAAATCACGCACTCACACACAGCATCTCCAAATAGCATGTTCAAGTCACGGTAATTTCATTCATAAATCTCAATGTAACTTAGCACAAATTTGCCTCACAAAGATTTGAATTCCCAATGAAGACACTGATAACAATGACTTTCTCTGCCAATGTCTGAATCTAAATATTTATTTTGTATTTTCAGTTGCTTGTTTTTTATTTGTAAGTCTCATATTGGGGTTGCGGAAGCCCCCGAGTGTCCTCTGCTGGTCCTATGATGCCCTCCATTGGTCATAAGAGAAACACCAGTGGGAGGTTTCATAATGATATTCTTGCAGCAAGTAAAAAGTAATTTCACACACTTTGTAATGGATAAGAAATCACAAACATGAGTTTACAAATATATTTTAAAAAGTATTCCTACCTCCAGCAATCTATCTCCAACATGGACCCCAGCCTTTTCTGACGCCCCCCCTTTATTTACTCTGGAAATAAAAATACCCTGAAGGGAAATAGACATGTTAGAGAGTGAATTTAAATAATGATCTAAAAACAAATGTGTGTTTGTGAATTTGAATATGTATTGTAGACATTTTGTTTGGTTCAGCACGAAGAAAGGGATAAAGTAGAAATGACACACATAAACACAAATACTAAGCACATTTACTATAGTACCGGTGTTCTTTTTTTAATATAGAGTTATGAAATACAAGTAATGTGCATATTTGATGGAGAGGGAAGGTCATTTATGGCATATAGTCCAAGAGTTGTAGGAAAATGAAAGGCCTTTAAGTAGGAATGGCCTTTAGAGTTTATTATTTAGAAGTTACATAATACATTGTACAGTATAGGCTTGACGACATGTTTGACCATCTTTTTATAAACGTTGGAAATAGTTGAAAGATAAAATGTATCGAACAGGCTAACTTATGGCTATGTGATGTACTGTATGTGTCAAAAACCTATGGTCAAAACAGTATATTGTTCAATTGCTCAAGGTTTCTTCTCATTACCTTCAGCCAATGATCACACATGTTGCAAGAGATCTTCTTACCTCATCGTGGTCTTTGTAAGGCATCGAGCCTATTCCACCAGCAATGCTGATTCCCAAACCACCACTCTGGCCGGACACTTTGATCTGTAACTTGGAGGAAATTGGAAATGAAAAGCTAGAATCTATTTACATAATGAGCCAGGGTGAGGCAACTCTAACAACAATAACATTAGCAACAATTTGCCACAATCAATAGAGTCTCCAGCAGCCCCTTCTAATGCAGCCCCAAAGAGATAGATAAACACTGAAGAAGACACAGCGTGCAGTTACTCTTAATGGCACTTCAGAGGCCAATGATTCCTGAGGAAGGGTCGTCTCCGTCACTGAAGAAGACTTCCCTGTGATGGAGGAGGTCTTTAGGTCGGGGCTGGGGTTTCCATGGTGACCAGACTCTGCATTAATAGCTCTTTGATGCTGACACTTCCTCCCGTCTCGGGTTTCGACCCTCTGAGGGCAAAATCGCCGTGGAATGGCATCACTCTCTGCTGGCAGCTGGCCTGCAGCATCCTGGGGATAAACAATAATCCAACACAGCCGTGGATGTTTCACTTTGAATTCACTAACAAGACATTACATTAATATAAGGGATTAAAACAGATGCAGCCTTGACTTAAGGTCCCCAATTTGTATTCAACTGTACTTATTCAACTGATTTCTGAGTTTATAGATCAGGGGTGTCCAAACTTCTTTCACCGAGGCCCACATACAGAGAAATATACGAAGGGCTGGGCCACTCACTAAAGGTATATTGCCTCATAAATTCAGTTATAAGTCAGCAAAATCAATGGAAATGTAGGTAAATTATGCTTGTGAGTGTTGGCAGCTCAGCCCTTAAAACAGAAGCCTCGGATTGATTATAATAAAGGAGAAATAGGAAGGGTGTATTTCAAGCTTGTTATGTAAATAAGTCATTGGGCTTTTATGCTAAGATATGTTAGAAAATGTTTCCAACTTTAATTGACTGAATTGATTTTAAAAGTGGTCTTATTAACACACAAACACTACTGTAATATCGTTTTACATTTATATTTAAGAACTACAATATAAGACAAGCACAAGTTTCATTTGTGGGCCGTATTACATTATACTTTTTGAATTTACTGAGGGCCAATTCAAAATGGTCCACGGGCCGCATTTGGCCCCCGGGCCGTAGTTTGGACACCCGTGTTAAACATGTATATTAACATTGTACATTGATGCCTTTGTCTTCTCTGAACAGATGAGTTTTGTGAGTTTGCATTTCATTAAAAAAGAATATATATAAAATGATGACACATCTAGACTAAGTGTAATTCTGCAGCACGACAACAGTTGATGGTCATCAGCAGTGGAAGTGGCTGATAAGAAGATACCTGGAGTGGAAAAAAGACCTCCTCATGTTGTTCTGTGTCCTCTGCATCCTTCTCTGCGCTGGAGGAGCGGGCACACACTCCGGCGCTCGCCAGGTTCCTCGTCTGCTGACGCTGTTTGTTCTCCCCCTGACCAAAGCCTGAGATCAGGGCCCAGTGCTGCCTACCGGAGCTGGGGGGCGGGTTAGTGTGAGGCTTTTGACACTCCTGGAGATAGTCAGGAGACGCCGGCCTTTGCTGAAAATGTCATTTCAATGTAATATATTGACGGAAATAAGAAGTGACATTGTTGGATGAATACTTTGATAAAGCCACATCCATCATGATGCGTAAACTGGTCATGTGAAGTCCGGTCATAATAAAAGTCAGATAGTACAACATATCCAAGCTGACCCTAGAAAAATGCTCATGCTTTCTAGAAGGGCAGCATTTATATTTATTATTTGAGACAAAAACAATAGTAAAATCCTGCTTCATTTTCAACATGCAAGCTTATATTGTTGCACCAGGGGGTGCAAATCCAATACTCTTACTGGTACACTTGTTTTGAAGAGCTTAAAAGCTGGAAGATTGATATCAAAAGCTTAATTTGTCTTTTTCTCTGCCCTTTTGCCAACGTGTTTCTTTTGTTGCTTCTTTAGGAGGCAGAGAAAGAGAGATTATCTGTTTTTTAACCTAACTGATAACTCAAACACCACATTTTTCATTTTCAAACAGAAATGTACAATGAGATTTAAATGAAAGTGCATATGCAACAAACATCATAATACTGTATACATACACATTCAGTCTTTACTCTCCCAGTGTCAGTACAACATGCAGCACGTGCAGGGTAGACAAGTCAAATACATGCTGGCAGAGCTTTGCAGAAACACCGTGCACTGCTGGACAGACAGAAGCAATGGAGGGAGGTCAGGAAATGGAATATCTGATTTGTTTCCTCAAAGAAAACCACTTTAAGGTATTTTTGGTTATAGGTTAAAATGAAGACCACACCAGATGTACCTTATATTATTGTAAATCAGATTGTCTCTAAACTCAATAATTGAAAAGGAATAAGAAACATACTGTTTAGTGTTGCACTCGTTTTATTGATCAGTGGTTAAAAAAGTCATCCAAATCTCCAGGCAGTGTCCGTTTGAGATCCGTTTTGTGCAGTTTGATCAGAAAATAATTAAAAACATAAAAGCCAACACTTGAACCAATTTCTCTGGTCCACTTTTTGCACTCAATTTAAAAACAAAATAATACAAATGATCGTGTACCATGTAAATAATTTGAGAAGCACTGAGAAGTGCATTTAAGTTCAACTTCTAACAACCGCATTTTTAAAAGGATGCCATCCTTGTGGTACGAACCTCATTTTCACCAAAACCTAAGATGATTATTATATACAGTACTCTTAGTTAAAAAGGAAAGACAAACCTTTTTTAAAAATAATATACAACCGTTTTTGGCATCTATTTGAAAAACATTGCAAAGATGTGAAGCACAGCACATATAAATAAGACAGCATCGTTACTTCTGCTTTATTAGGTTGCAGGCGAGTAATTAATGGTTGATGTGCAGTACTTAAATCCAAACTTAATTAAATCTAGTTATCCAAAAATAGGTCTAGATGTTTTACAGATCAACAAAGAGTTGCAAGGCCTTCCACTCACCCAATGACAACTGTATGGATTGAATAAGACATCAGTGACTGTTTTATCATTTCGTTGATTTAAAAAAAAAAAGGAAAAAAGTACCAACTTAAAAATCTGCATCTGATTAATAAATGTGCTATACATATTTATTTACATCTGAGCTGCCAAAAAGTATAAAAGTATCAATATTCACAAGAGACTATACAAGAATCCTTAATCAGTAGGTCCAAAAACTCCTGCTTTTATGTTTGCCCAAAATGTAAAAAGAATTCACCCAGTGTTTTAAAAATAGATAAAGAACAAATATATAAGACATTTATGAAGGTTTGACCATATTATAAAGACTTATAATAGTGCAACTACCTAATGTGTATTTTTAAAAAGAGGTATTAAAAAAGTAATACATCTTTAAAATATTTTAAAAGGAGCATCTCTGTGCAGATTATTGCTGCTGACATTAATTACAAAGAGGAAGGCACACTGAGGTCCCTGGCAGACGGACACGTTTTACGCAGGACTGGAGATGGAGTACAGGCAGTACACTTACAGGCGTCCCGGGGTTTAATCAGAGGAGGGGTAGGCCACACCGAGGGTCGCAAGGTAAAAATCTGCGGGGGGGTTGTGCGGGACGACATGGCGAGACACAGGAGGTAAAAAACATTTCTGAGGTAAAGGTCACACAGATGTGGTCACTCTGTCTGCAGCGTTATTGACCTCGTTTTTGTTGGAGTCCAGGCCTTTGGCAGCGTTCAGGTCTTTGCGGAGGTTCTCCGCCGCTTTCTTCATCGTCTTCAGCTCGCCGGGGTGAGGCGTGGCCCGTCGCAGTAGTGTTCCCTGTGTGAAGGAAACAGATTCAATTTAGTGGTGCATTCTGTAGAACAAAAGAGGAATTGTTCACATCTGTTGTAGGCAGTAAGCGGTTTACAGTACAAAAAGAGACGTGGGGTCCAGACTGATACATCTCCAAACTATAATAAGCATTTCCAATAAAACAGTTTCCATTTACTCATTTATGATTCCCACAGAATGACCTGATTCAAGTAGTATAATCTGGGTATTCCAGAGTATTGCGGAATCTCACATTTTTACAACAGTCAATAATACATATGAACATTCATTTACTTTTTTGCCTTTATTGGAAAGTACAGCAGAAGACAACTGGAAAATGGGAAGAGAATGCGGAAATGGCACTGCCGTGTTTGTACAGTTTAGGTATTTTGTTGGTAAATAAATGCTAAAACCCCATCTAGGCACAAAACAAGCTGCTGTCAATTGATAGCCAACCTCAGCCAAGGCTCACTTAAGCTGGGCTGACTGAAAAGCCTATTCACTTCTTTCAGTTTGTGTGTACAGACGGAGAGATCGAAATACCGATTCCCACAATCCTGAAGCTAGATTGATAGATCTCTGGATAGATTGCTGAATTTCGCCCTTTGGCATGTTGGTCTTACCTTCTCGTCATCCTCGTCCTCGTCATCATCCAGAAAGTGAATGGCACTGATCCTGTTCATGGCTTTGCTGTCCCAGGTGTCTTCTGCCACGTCGTTCACCAGGCTCTCCAGGGCTCCACAGCGGGCGAGATTATCAGAGCCTGTGGTCGTTTTGGAAAGAGACAACACCATTTGTGTTAATTTAATTCACGCACACTTCAAAATGCTCAGATACAATTACAGAGGGTGACCTGAAGTGAATAGGAGCAGATGAAAATCAATATGGCTGTTATGATTGCTTGGCCGCAACATGCCAACTCAAGAAATGAAATCTGTCATATAACCCGGTGCTCATAAGAGAGAGCCTGAAACTGCCAGATCACAGTTTCAAATCCCGGCTTAGTCATAGGCTTACAGCAACACAATCTTCCCTGCCCCCAACCTCAGATTCAGCCTCACACATATGACCTCCACCAGTCTTCAATCTGCATCCGAGAGAGAGAGAGAGCGATGGCACGTCACAAAATAAAAGAATGCATGTTTTTTTTGCCGGGGAGAAAAACATCTAGTTGAATGCAAACTACAGTAACATGCAGGGAAAATAGGATTGAATCTAGGCATATTTAGGCGCAAGGATGACAGCAAAGAAAATAAACTACATTCAAATTCTGTATCAGGCAGAGATAGAGGCGACCCTCAGCCCCATCTCTATACCCCACAGCGGGCGAGCTTTTAATGGCAACGGGCCAGCCGCCGCTAAGCCTCTTTAGCCGTCCAATCCAGCGCAATTCTGAAAAACATAACCAAGGAGGTCCTCAAGGGACGTGAGTCTGTTATAGGCTGTGATCCCTAGCAGGAGCTCGTAATCGACAGTCACTGCAGGGAAGGATCCTGAGGGCACTCGACTCCTTATGCTTCCCCGAGAATATCATGTATGATGTCCTTTATTGTTTTATGTTTCATGTGGAACCTATATGCTGCAGGTCTCCCTTGAAAAAGAGATCTATGATCTCAAGGGACCAATCTGATTAAATAAAGATTTGAAATGAAATGAAAATCATGTGATAATGTCATCCAAACCACGGGGCACTAAATACTTGGAGACGATGCGACTAGTGATGAGGAATATTACTCGACTGTCACAGCCGTGGCACCAAAACGTTCCACTTGAGAAGCAAGATCTACAAACAAGTAGTGCTGTGGTTTCAGTCAGTGGAACACTCCCTGTTTCTGATAACACCCATGAGTCATGAGGGTTACTGGAAACCCCTGAGGATAGTTTGGAAAAACATTACCTTTAGTGTCTGGTTCACACGGCTGTTGAGGCAGCAGCACGCAGGTGAGCACCTTCTCGCCCGACTCGGGGTCCTGGTCCGTCTGGAAGGTGAGGAGAGGCTGCGACTGGTTCTCAGACAACCATAAGGCCTTCAGTCGAAGCGTGGTCAGTGACAGCGGTAAGTGAACAAGCCTGAAAACAAACAGGATATAAATCAAATCAAATCAAATAATCAGGTAAGAAAAGAGAAAACATAATTAAACAAGCTAAAATAGAATAAGACAGGTATAAAGATACAAGAAAGAAAAAAAGCCCAATGTTAGAAATAGTATTATTTTAACAAAATAAAAAGGCAGCTGACTTTCAGCATTGATTTTTAAAAAAAAGTGAGAGTTTCAGCAGAGTTTGTTTCAGATTTATGGAGAATACAAACTGACTTTGGCTCCCTGTGTTTAGATGTAACTCTTGGGACAGAAAGCAGACTGGTACCAGGCAACCTGAGGGGTCTCAAAGGCTCATAATACAGCACTAACCCATGCAATGCTCTGTTTAAAGCTATAGTATTTTAGTGTCAGTTATTTGACAGACAGGAAGCCAATGTCGAGACTTCAGAACTGGAGTGATGTGATCCACTTTCTTAGTATGATATAAAGAGAGCACAAGGTACCTGCAGGCTTGTAGTTGTTATGACAATGTGTAGGAGGGAAACGCTCTCCAGACACAGAGAGGCGAACAGGTTTGTGTGAGACTAAAGAAGAAGACGTCACTGCTGCTTTCTCTGAAGACAAAGCTTGGACCATAACAGGTAGTGGCAGAGAAGCAAAGCCAAAACAACCCCTGACTGATGGTGAGTAATATGAAGATCATAGATATGCATCAGAAGGTACAAATAAAAACTGAATTTCCTCAAGCATTTATCACGTATAATGATAAAATGTTACACTTTATGGTTTACATTTAGTCTTCGCATTGAAAACTAAAGTCTGTAAATTAATCTGTATATAGGAAAATGTTTTCGAACACATAAAAACATTATTTGCAGGTGTGTGAGTCTTCAAATAAGATAAGATAAGACTTTATTTATCCCGCCAGAGTTACAAAGATACAATAAACATATTAAAAATCAATAAAATACAGATTTGTTGTACCTATTTCCAGAGACATCGAGCACGTGCAGATCTGTTGCCTGCGACAGCTCTGACGGTATCCTCGTCAGTCTGTTCTCTCGAACACAGAAGACATTCAGACCACTGCAGCCCCCAATCTACAAAACAGAAGAGACACACCATGATGCGGCTGCACGTTAGTTAGAGTACAAGTGTCCTTGGAAGGATAAACACATAGTATAGGTAGACAAACATGTAGGTAACACTTTTTTAGGAACAACTAGTCCTAGCAGCCAGATAACTGAAGATGTGTTGGGCCAGCTGCCGTTGTAATCCATTAATCTGCTCAGGAAACAAGTATTGTGACAGAGATTCATCCCCCTTAAATGATCAGATTAAGCTCATCATCTACACGGGTTTATCTGATAGCTGCCTAACACCTCTCAAGTCATCAGTAAACAAGGCGTGAGGAGCAAACAGATCACACTTTGTTAAGTCTGCTTCCATGTAAGCACGGTCTACAATCAGCTAGGAAAAAGTGTTATGAGTCGCTAATCAACAATCAATAGAATCCATAAAACTGGACCAATGGTCAAGTAGCTCAGAGAATCAATACTTGGTCGCCGTGGTTACACTGTGATTGTTCGAGATGTCATTTCAATGCTGGTTTGAGAAAACGGTGACACCATGGATTCATGATCTAGGCCTGCTGTTATTTTTCTCCCTACACTGCGGTCTTTGCATCATTATGACACAGGGGCATTGTACGACGTCTGAAGAAGCCTTTCAGAGGAAGCGTAAACTTAAACAGACAAGAGGTTTAGAAAAGAATGTCACGTACAAACACAATGGAGACACTCAGACGGAGCTGAACCAACCTGAGCTGAGCAGTAAACTCCACAAGCAAGAGCATTGTTGTTGATCCAAACGTGAGTGAACTTTACACGGTTTGAGCCAATGAAAATCTGTCGCAGTAGAGAATTGCATAACAACAAATGCAGTCTAACAGCATTGCATCAGTGTACTAAAAGCTTTTTTTATTTGATTGAAGAAGAAAATAATAGCCTTGTAACTTTTGAATGTTATATGTATGTCAGATGTGTCAATCTAAACCGTGACCCTTATCGACCTAAAATTACAATCAGCTGCTGCTGCTGCTTAGACCTGGAGATGTCGAATGTATCAATGTGTGCCATCTACAGGCTGGCAGAGCAACATCTTCAGGCATTTTTACACTGACACCTGCACAAGTAATTATCCTGAGGGAACAAAACCTACAATGTTATATTTAGTGTAAATGTACAACTTTACCTTTAGAGTTTTATAGTCAGTTTCATTCATTGCTTCTTATAACACTCAATGGATTTACACTAATAATCATTTTAATAGCGCCTTTCAAGAGACCCAAGGACGCTTTACAATGGGAAACAAAACAACAAAATAATAATAGTCACAAGGATACACAGGTTAGAAAAAAATAAAAAATAACCGGTAGCTGGGTACTGCATTTAAAAAACATTTGAAATAAAAGATATATGCGAAGCTTACCTCTTTCGGTAATGACGTTAGCTGGTTTCTGTCACAGTTGAAGTTGGAAACTCGCTTTAATTTCCCGATACTCCTAGGCAAACTCTGTAATGAAGGAATGTCAACAATTAAAGCAACATAGTGAGTTTTAAAAACACTGGAAGCTTAATAACCATAAAGGCACAACAAGAGTATTTCCTTTTCTGGTTTGTAACTTATTTATTGAACCGTGTGTCCCACGTGTCAATTGTTCCAAGGACAATATACACAATGAAATCCTCCATGTGTATTCAGCA